CTTGCAGCCCCCAATCTAGAACAGTATTGAAAAATGTAAACTACAACAACATTACAGGATTTTGTCATTATTTTACACAACATTACATTGTGCGCACGTGCCAAATAATACATTCACTATGAATTGAATATTGCAAAATGGCACCTTGTGGTCTGATCCATTCTTTGTAAGTGATCTTTTACAGGTGGTCACTGTTGATATAGTACATTGCAGCACTTCTGATCTTTAACCGTTGGTGATGTGTTCATGATCTCTGTGGTTCCGTGCACTAATTGTGTTGAACTCTGGGGTACTCTGGTGCCATTTGCAGTCTCTTCCAGTGATTGTGATACAGTGTGAAAATTATTGTCTGTGGTCACCTCTGTTCATTTGTGGTTTCTGTCATGTAGTGATTTCTGCTGAGTTCTGGTAGTTAAGTGCACTACACGCTGCAGTGATTGAGTCCATGTGGCCGTTTGTGGTGTTTTTTTGGTACTGTGATGGTACTTGCAGAGACTCTAAGTGGTACTGTAGTTTGTAATGATGTCGCAATGATGTAAAACTGATGGAACAAATAGAGAAATGGGATTAAAACTATGTCCACATACAAAATGTGCTTCTTCCTATCAGGGTGACTAAATCACAAACTGGTTGGACTTTTGCAGAAACAAACACAGTGGATAGAGGGAAATAGATGCACTGTGCTGATACATTGAACTGATTTCCCTACTCTGTCAGCAGAGGCGGAGAAACTGTGGGCCACATACAGAGAGAAAGCACAAGAGAAGGAGCGACACTCAGGAAGTTAACAGGGGAAGTTTAGTGGTTTCTTGCGTCATCATTTTTATGCTGCTACTTGTGTGCTGATGCAGAGTGAAGGTAGGAGCTCTGGTGTTTTAACTCGTTCATTTCCTCGTGTTCCCACATTTAAACTCTTTCCTAAAAAGTGAGCAGGTGGATGGGGGATGGCAGCGTAGACGGAGAGCCGAGGCAGGTGTCAGGAGGATGTAAGAGGGTGTGGAGAGAGAGTTTGAACGTCTGTATGAGTCTAAATGTTTCAACGGTGCTCGACTTCCGCTGCAGTGACAACGGGGCCGCAATGGCCGTGACATGCGGGCAGGCAGCAGAGACCAGGCCTGTAATGAACACAGGCCTCATGCTAGGAGCTGCGATTGGAGGCTTCGGTGGCTCCAGCAGCTCAGAGACGCATTATAGTGAGACTGGAGTGAAACGTTCAGGGGCTCAGTTCACTCAATACGAGAAGTACAGAGGCAAGGGTGTGGCCTTTCATTCGAAAATAAATTGAGTGCATCAGGGGGAAGTGGAGAGTCACATATGCACGCTGAGGATTCACAGCAGTTTGTTTGATTTTGGGGGAGACTGATTGTTGTCTGAAACTGCACAAAAACACCGTGTGTTCTGCTTTTGCAGGGTGGAAGACAAACCAAAGTATGTCCTAACGCTCCGGCTTTTACATGTCAGCTCCACTGCAACGCAGCCCACAGAGGAAACAACCTGCACCCAACAACATGCACTGAAGCAAAGGAAGCAGAAGCAGCAGCAGCAGCAGCAGCAGCACAGTCAAATCTCTGAAATGTGCAGTGTCTCCACAAAGTTACATTAGCCAAGTTGGTCAACACCATCCAGCGCAGACAGCCAGAGAAGGTCTCAAACTGAACGGGTTGGTCTGAATGTGAGGTGGAAACAGAACACAGGAAGAGATGCGAAGAGTTCGACGAAAAGGAGCAAACAAAGAGAAGGTGTTTGGATGTGATCTGCTGGAGCATCTGAACGCCTCCTCGCAAGAGAGTAAGTGAACCATCCTCACTGTGAAACATGTACTCTGTTCTGTTTGTTGTACCAGCTTGTTCCAGCGGTGGTTTCCTTTACTGCAGGCATCACGACTCACACCATCCTGTTTAGATCATTGAACTGTATGTTGTCTAACTGAGGAGAATCTATGTAACTGCACTGTGTAAAAGAAACCACAACTATGGATTCAAACTATAATTCACTTGGTAGATTAAAGGTGAGACTGAATATATATTTGTAAACATAAAAACACAGATTGTATCCCCTCAAAAGTTGCTTTACAGCCGGCAGAAGAATCATTCAACAGGACTGATGGAGCTTTTTGTATTTACAGCTATGAATAGATGAGACTATTTCTCACATTTTGAAACTGTTGAGTTTCTCATTTTGCTGTGATATACGTCATTTCAGAGACATTAAACCAAGAAAAAACTGCCAATATTCAGCTACATCTTCGTTAAAACTCACTAAACAGCTTCAACCACACCAGGTTGTCTCTGACGCTTTAAAGAGTAACTCTTGGTCCTGTTACTGCATGCTTTCACTATTATAAGACAATTCTGGTATTTTATTTCTCTTAGGAGTTAATTACAAGTCGTTCCTGTCATTTATCAACATCTAAAGGAGGAGTCTGCTCATCCAGTCACTGAATTTGACACTTTAAAAAAAGGGGGTTAGAAGAGCATTAAATCTGGCACAGACAAACTAAATAATGAGCTAAACACCACCATTCTTTCTTCATACAGATGGGTTTTGCTTTTTTGCTTCAGATAAACACAAGACTCAGAGTCCACTGGGATGCTGCAGGGCTTGTTTTTAGACAAAGCGGCGCTTTGGGTCAAATGCTAGCATGCTGATGTTAAGCAGGTAGAATATTTAGCATGTTCACATTTATAGTTTGGTGTTTGCCAGCTTTGCTAATTAGCAATGAAGTCAAAATACGGCTGATCCTGATGGTAACGTCATTCTGTTTTTAGCTATGTGATCAAATTTTAAGCTCGCATCAACTGAAATTTTGACCTGATGGTGTTGCTCGTTGAAAAGTCGGATGATCATCTAAGTTATTTCCACGAAGAAAAATTGTATTTAGGTCCTTTACTGAAGGAAAAGAACCAATACAGCAATGTAAAAATACTGCATTACAAGTGTAGTGGAGCAGAAAATATAATGTTTCCTTCTTGGAAATACTCAAATAAAGCAAAGGTGCCCTTAAATTTGGTCTTAAGCAAATTGAATAAATGTGTTTGATTACTTTCCATTACTGCTTATTACAGCATAACATGGACACCTATACTAGTTCATCAGACTTTTTACTCACATGTACAAACTGGAACTTCAAAGTGTCAGAAAAATAAATAAGATTCATCCTCTGTGGACCATGACATTTTTTTTGACAATCCACCAAAGAGCCAGAAAATATTACGTCACATCACCATAAATTTAATATCTTGGCTAAAAAAAAATGTTTTTGCAAAATGATATATGTTATAAAATGTTCAAATTACACACTGAAAAAATATTTATTTTCACATTTGGTTTTAAATGATGCCATTATTCATGCTGCTCCACATGTGATGATTTGGTAATACATATTTATCATAGATTTTATGTATAATATATTTCACAACGATGCTGCTGCTGCTGCGTAACAATAATGTTTACAAAAAGTCAAAAAAATCCCCTCTTTGCTGGAACTTTGTTGTTTTGTTATGTGATGAAAATTAAAATGAAACAACCACAAATTACCTTCCAATCATTAATGTCTCCTCCATTTAAACTCCACTGAGGTGTGGAGGCTTTATGTAAAGTTCAGCTGAGAAATAAATGAGTTGTTAACAAGATAACAGTAAAGGTATGTTTTTGTTTTCATAAAAACATATAGGAAATATTAGATATATCATAAATGGTGCATACTGAAACATAAAGACAAAATGTCTATATTCATATTAAAAACTTACAAATTGAGCATGCTGCATTCTATTATTCTATTATTCTGTTATTCTGTATGTTATTAATCTTCTCCCACAGTTCCTCAGGTGTTGCGATGCTGCAGTGAGTTTGTGGAGCACAATGGGATCGTGGATGGAATCTACAGGCTGTCTGGAGTGTCGTCCAACATTCAGAAGCTCAGGTAAGCTGTGTGCTGCTCTCTAAGTTTACAATATGCCCCAACAAGGTTTTGATCAGGTTTTTGTGTGACGTTGATGCACTTCTAAAGTGACCGTGTGTTTGCATAAAACCAGGGGGGAGTTTGAGAACGACGGGAATCCGGACCTGAACAAGGATGTGTACTTGCAGGACATCCACTGTGTCAGCTCTCTGTGCAAAGCTTATTTCAGAGAGCTGCCAAACCCTCTGCTCACGTACCAGCTGTACGACAAGTTCGCTGTGAGTATCTGCACTGCAATGACAGTAGATCCAGATCCCACTTGGAATACAGAATACAGGTCCTTAAGTTCAGTACAGCTCTCTTTTTTTTCCCAATAAAATGATGAATTGAAAAACATTTATGCCAGATTTATCTGCTTCCAGCATCTTAAATGTGGATAATTTCTGATTTTGTTACTCCCCAATGACAGTAACCTGAATATCTTTGGGCTGTGGATGAACAAATTTGAGGACATAATCTTGGACTTTGGGAAACACCATTTTATTACTTTTTACAACTATTGATTGAGTCGCAATGAAAACAGTTGTTATTTGTGGTCCGAATAATGTCCTAGATTAAACTGGAACAAGAACTTTGCTTCTTGAAAAAAAAGAAAACAATGATTTCATTCTTATTCCTACAGGAGGCTGTTGCCATCCAGCTGGAGGAGGAGCGGCTGGTTAAGATCAGAGATGTGCTGAAAGAACTACCAGCACCACATTACAGGTACACGGCCTCCTCTACTCATATAAAGCACCCTTTTCACCTAAACTCACATGGAAACCTGTATTTTATTCCTTGAAGGAGGAAACAGTCATCGTCAAACATTGCCAACAGTTTATTATTTTACTGTGAGATTTGGGCCTTTTGCAAATGTCCACATATTTTAGAAAAAAGCTCCTCAAGCTACCTGGATGCTTCTTTGTTAATAGAGTTTGGATTTGGTAACATCCTATAAATGTAGGTTTTAGGACTTGGGAGGTATTAGGACTTTAGGTAGCACTTGTGCAGATAAGAACCTTAGACCAGTGACCCCTGAAGAAACCTGTGGTTGATGAATAAGTCTTTATTTCAACTCATTGCCCCATTTTTAAAATGGTGGCTGTAAACCATGTTTTTAATACTTCAGTGTAATAAATGAGAATGATAAACAACCTCTAAATGCATGTAAACCATTGGATAAAATGGAAAATTGTTCTGCTGCTTTGGTTCACTCTCATCACCGTCATGGTGTCATTTATGGCGGCAGTAGGCATCTCGTGTTTGCAAAAAAGCTTTAAAAAGTCTGTGCAGCCATTGTAGTCCAAGTTGTACCACCAAACAGCAGCTAGACACAGTGAGCTGGTGCACACTGCAGACAATTAAACAGTTACAGCCAGATATTTCCATCAGGAGTGGGTAGAGATCAAAAACAGAGCTAAATAAAAAAAAGAGCGAGTATGGACCAAAAACACGACTCCAAATGTTGGTTTGTTACTTCTGGATATGTAAATAAAGAACTGTTTGCTAATAAGTTTTCCAGTTTAACCCTTTGAACCCCCAAATCTGCTGAAATCACTCACATAACACCAAACAGGAGGAATCGCTGGATTTTCAACTTTCAGAGAGTCCTTTAACTAAACTGTGCTAATCTTTCAGGAAAACGTCTCACGTTATTCTATATGTTTTGCTAAAAATCCACCAAAAATAAACACTTCACAAAAAAATAAATGAATAAATAAATCTTCACTTCTCGGGCAACCGTTAAGCCACGACTGTCTTAGCTGTGACTGGCACTCGACAAAAGTTCAGAGAGTTTTCAGCTGAACTGCAGGCTGTGTTTACACAGAGTAGATAAAGGACAACAGGAAGAGACAAAGAGGAAAATAAAAGGTGCTTGATCATTAAAATAAATGCAGAATGGCTCAAAAACAGTACAGAGAGGAACAAGCTGTTGGAAGATACATTTAACATGGTGAAATATCTTTCTGGAATTGATGTGCAGAGCATTTTGTAAAAAAAAAAAGGAAGTAAGTAGTAAAATATCATGTGGAGCCAATTGTTTTCTCCAGTGTTGGTAGCAACTGTGGGCACTTTGAAAAATGTTGTATGTGTTGGTTGTAGTTTTCAACTTCAACCTTGTGTTTTTGTTTGTTTGTTTTTAATGATTTATAGTACAATAACTATTACACTGCACAAAAGATAACATCTCTCAGTTCTCTCTACTTCTAGCCATGCTTGTGTTTCCATAGAGGTGCAGGACTCGTTAGTGAAATGTGACAGGATATTATAATGTCCTATTTAATGTTAACAGTTCTTTTATGCAAATGTTTTATTCTTGTTTTATTCTTGTTTTATTGAGTCTCTTTTAACCTTTTCTTTTATTTGCTGGTTCGGCTCCCTCACTGTTGAAAACAAAAACAGATTACAAGGTATTGTGAGGCTGTGTGGAAAAATAGCAGGGACGAACCTAAATAACTTGACAGCCCTACATCAAATCAGATTATTAGCCAAGGCCCGTTTAGTCGCCGCAGACCAGAGCCATCCCTTGGCCCACTGGTTACAATTACTTCCGCTGGGGCGCAGGTATGTTCTGCCAAAGTGCAGGACCAATAGATATAAATTTTCTTTTGTCCCTGCTGCTATTTCCCTGTTAAACAAGTGATCAGTCTTGTCTTTTCTCTGTTGTTTTCTGTTGTTGTTGTTGCATGTGTGATTGTGGCAGTGACTGTCTCATTGCTGGCTGCACAAAAATTTCCCCACGGGGATATTAAAGATTTTTGAACTTGAACTATTTGTGCTTCAGGACTCTTCAGTTTCTGATGCGTCATCTCGTCAAAATGGCTTCGTATTCCTCAGAGACCAACATGCACGCCAGGAACCTCGCCATCGTCTGGGCTCCCAACCTGCTCAGGTGTGTTTATATCACAGATCATGTGCTGTTGTCATTTCTGCAAGACACTGCCTGCTTTTACTCCGCAAGAAAACACTAAACCTGATTAGATTTTGTGTAATTTAACAAATAAATTCCAAGTTTTCCTTTTGCTCCTTCTTCTTCCTGCTCTGTCCTTTCATTCTGCTCATTCATCTATACGTTGACTTATTCCTTCTTGTCCAATCTTCTTTCCTCATTCAATCACTAAACCAATCCATCGATCTGCATGTGAAGGTCGAAGGACATCGAGGCGTCTGGATTCAACGGTACAGCAGCCTTCATGGAGGTCAGGGTTCAGTCCATCGTGGTGGAGTTTATCCTCACACACGTCCCTCAGCTGTTTCCCGAACAAGGTCACAACACAAACATGTCACACGTCACACCATCACACACAGACGTCTACCTCTGCCTCACCTGTGTGGTCTGCTTTATTCAGGTGTGTCAAACGAGAGGAGGAAGTCCCTCCCTTCGCCGACAGCCGTTCCCAATCAGGACGAAGCCTTCTTCAAGTCCGGTCACACTCAGCCGATCGCCAACTTCGGGAACATCAGTCCAGGAGATGGTCCTCTTCGTATTCGACCCTACCACGCGATCATCGAGGGCACAGACAAGTGAGCAGATCATCCGTTTATCATCACATCGTGTGCATTACACTCCTAGTGATTAGCTACGCTGTTACAGTAACACATTTAGAGAAGGTTGAACTGCTGTCAGGCTTATCTCAGGTGTATCATATTCACGTTTCATTCAACCTGCGTAGTGTTTACAACGTGTGCTAAAACTCTGACATGAAACCCGCACCGTAAATGTCTCACTCTCGCCAGGAGGAAAGGATCTCTCAAAGGCAGGAAGTGGATGTCCATCTTCAACATTGGAGGACGGTTTCCTGACCCCCGGAGGAGACACAAACACTCAGCCAAAGGTACAAAACCCTCACATGGACATGAGTTGTAGCAAAAAATCCATAAATCTTCCTTCATTATCTATCTAGTAATTTCTCAATGCTGTTATTTTATATATACAAACTGTATGACTGATCCAAAAACAAAGATTTGTTGCTCGGCAGAGGAGGAGTTGATGTTCTGTTCAAAACTGTGAATTTAGGGTTAAAATTTGTAATCCAAGTCAAACGTTTGATTTGGAAACACATCTGTGCAGGAGGTTTAACTTTAGCTGCTTCCCTCTCTTCTCATTCATAATTATCCCCTCAAAAATTGTTCTTTTTGTTTCAGAGAAAGAAATTACTCCTTTGAGACCCGCAAGAAGCATGGACTCCCTGAGCACCCCGACTTTTCCAGCTGAAGGTAGCCTTTTCTGAAGCAAGTTACATCTGATTTTGAGCGATAAATAAATGCTGTCAACATTTCAAATAATTTTAAATCTACACTCGTGACTCTAGGTGCTCCTACAGTGATTTTAGGCAGCGTCATATTGCCAAAAAAAATTCATTTACTCAAGCATAATGCATAATGGATATTTTTGTTTATGAAATTATCGCCAGGAATAAACAGAACGCATAGATGTCTGTCAAACTGGGTGCCACAGACTTTGCCTTTACTACTCTGAAACAAATACAGTAATTAGTAAAGGAGACTATGGATTTATATGCCTTGTGTAAACTGATAAAGTTAAAAACCTGTAACTGTGAATAAACCTAAAATTAATATTTAAAAAAAAAGAAGAAATTCTTGTTAAGGTGGAACATTTTGCCCTTTTATAAGGGAACACATGATAGAATGTTCTTCTGTAAAACATTTCCACAATGATAACAAAGGAAGGATGTTCTCAGTGGAACATACAGAAAAGATGTAATGTTCTAAATAAAACGTTCCTGTCGTGATGTATTCAGAAAGGTGGAACATTCTGCCTGTAATGTTCTGAAGACATTTTGAGGATGTTATCGAGGGAACACATTGTAGAATCTATGAAATGTTCCCACAACGTTCAACAGTTTCACACGATAACAAAGGAAAAACGTTCTCAGTGCAGCATACTTTGAGAACTTAACAGGTCTAACAGTTTTATCATCGTACATTTTCAGAACATGATTCGTTGTCTGACCTTTTGGCAGAACATTCTGGGAACTAAAAGAAAACTTCCTGCTCAAAACATTCGCAGAAGTTTTTCAGGATGTTTTCGAAATAAAAGCCTGTCTTTCAAATATTCACGAGAATTATCTGATCTGAGGTCACTAGGACTGATTCAAGTAATTATTTGCAGAACAGATTCCAGAAACAGTTTTTGTTACGATACAAATTCACTGACTGAACCGTTTCATCCCACATCTTGTTTATTCATTACACTTCAGGTTCCAGACGTTCTGCCCAGCGTCCTCCTTCCACCCACATGTCTCCCATCGTCGCTCAACCACCTCCGTCTGCCCCAGATGTCTCAGTATCTGGAGGTGCAATAGGCAACAGTGAATACGCTGTGACCTACCGCAGGGGAACTGGTTTAGTAAGCGGAGGCGCAGGAACTCAGGGAACGTACACAGCTCTCGACCCAGAAGGTTTAGGGATCCCAGGAAACGAGGGCGTCCAGTCCAGATCCCCGGGACTTTCCACTAAAGTCGGCCGAAGGGCAGCCATGCACATCACGGGGCCCACCATAGTTACTGTGCCACTACATATCACCTCCAACCTGGCGTTAGGGGTTCTGCAGGGGGGTGGCAGCGACAGGGTCATCCACAGGGGAAGAGATAAGGATGGAGGGGACAGGGTGGAGGGTAAGGAGGGAGGAGAGAAGGCGGAAAAGAAGGAAAGCAGAGGAGTGGAACGGAAGGTGGAAGAAGGTAGGAAGGATAAGGCAGAAGACAAAAGTCAAAACAGGGAAGGAGTTGTGGTTGTGGAGGGGAGTGCAGCGGCAGCAGGTGGTGCTGGCGAGGAAAAAGGTGAAGAAGCAGAAGAGGAGGAAGGCGAGGAGGTGAGGGGAGATTGTGAGTCGAAGCAGGAGGAGCCGATGGAAGGTCAAAGTGTGTCCAGAGAGCAGCGGAACAAAAGCCTCAACTCCAACACCGAGGGAGACGCTGCAGATGATGACCAAGATGAATATATGGGTAACTACACGTGTTTCACCTTCACTTTAAATACCAGGGCTGCAAATAATGACTGCTTTCAATATGATTTATACTTTGACTTTTGGACTTCTGGAATATCGCAGTAATTATTGGATATATTGTCGTAAATCTGGTGCAGATAGTCTCGGTCTCCACTGGATAAACCCTGTAATGACTTTGTTTATTCCCTGACTTTTCCTCTACACTCTAAAAAATAACGTGTGGCATCAGCAAAACAATTACCACAACTGTTTGCATCAGTCTCTCGGAATAAATAGTCCAGTTTTCCTGACAAACATAGTTGTCTGATTTTGACATTAGCTACAGTTTTAGCCTGTTTTTTTGTGTAAATGTATGCTATTTTTTTTACAGAATTAGGGGCAAGTTATTATCTGTAATTTCACCAAACAGGCAAATTCTGTAAAATCTTTGTTTAAAGAATTATTAACCTTTTTTTCAGCCCCTAATATACATACAGCTTAGTTCAAATAAGAGCAAATCTCTACAAAATAATGATTTTTTTGCTGATTTAAATGTTGTTGTTTTTTAAAAATACATTTTTATTTTCCAGTCAAATGCTAGAAAGTGCACCAAATCAATGTTCGCTCATTTCTAAACTGTATTAATAGACATGAAAGGAAGGGAACCGGCTGATCTTCAGCCTGCAGCGACTCAACACAGCGACGACGGCGTGTTTGAAGCCTCTGACATCCTCAACTCAACGGAGGTGCAGGAGGACGACCAGGAGCTGTCAGGCTACGTTCAGGACAGCTTTGAATTCCTGGACCAAATGGACTGCAGCGTCCTGGACCACATGGACTGCAGTGTGTCCTATCAGGTGTGTGCTGTTGTGTCGGTAGAGAAAAGGTTTTAGGGTTGCACATATTCCTGAACACATGGGAATAAAAGATCGTAGGAAGAGAACAGCAACGTTTTTCTAACATTTTATTGTCACTTTAATTGACATCGAGCTAAGAGTAAGCAGAAATAAGAACACACTTTGGTGGGAATATGTGTTGATGATATGTAGTATCTGCACAGCCAAATGAAAATACAGAAGTAGGCACTATGGCTGGTAACAGATGGAGATAGTGCTTCTTCCCCCTCTCTCTATTGATATAGACTATACCGTAGACCATAGGCTTTGTATAAAAGATGAACATGGCCTCCAGGTCTGAAAAATGAAGCCAAAGCAGAAGTGTCTTAAACCTGCATTCTTTCTAGCAGCCAGCAGGGGGCAACTCTTCTAGTTTTGCAATTGTACAGAAATCTGTGAGAAAATTATCGTACTTCTCACCTGATCTGTTACCTCAGTAAACATTTCCCCCAGAAGTTGCTGGTCTTAATTGCTAGTTTCACATCTTCTTCAATACAGTAGGATGTTAATTTTGTAAATTATAGTCTCATTTAGCATTAAATAGACGATACAGCAGCATACGTGTTAGCACAACCATACTGGTGTAAATCATGACCTTGGTCCTCAGTCAGATTGACCCCTTGCTTCTCATGTCAGGTTTCCTAAAAGCAAAATGTTGACAGGCAAATGTTTATGTAGAAACTTACCTTTTTTACACCCTTTTTCTTGTGCCTTTTCACGTGCCAGGTGAATGAGTTCTCCGTTGAACCTCCTGGACACTCAGACGATGAGTACGAAGTCATGGAACAAGCTCAACCTCCCCATCTCCCTGCAGAGCTACTCTTGGCTGAAGCTGAACCACACAACCAGACCGAGTTAAAGCCACACAGACCGCTCAGCATCGACATCCCCAGTCGACACACTAAATCCCTCAGCTTGCCTTACATGACTTCACCGATCCACGGACCGGAGGACTCTTGCTCTGAGGAGGAGGATGTAGACGACAACTTTGATGATAATAATTACAGCAGTGATGACGACGATGAGAGCATGTTTATTAAAAGCCTTCCAACAGATTTTTTTTTAAGCACTCTGGCCGGGTTTGAACCCGACGCTGACAGATCCACAACTGATTCTGCGCATCACCTACAGAGCTCTGAGGAAAGAGACTGTCAGACACTGAGCCCTGAACTTTCTGCATGTAAAGAAACAACTACTGGAGATCAGGAAAAGGTGAAACGAGAAGAAGATGAAGACAAAGTGGAAGAAAAGCGGATAACAACAAATGAAGAGGAAGCTCACCAAGGACCAGACCAGCAGGATGACGATATGGAAAGGTGAAAACTGATTTCAGATTGGAACATATAACATAAACTCAGTTCCCAACCTTAACTTTAATTAATTGCATATGATTAAATACACCTTTAAAGCTTTAATCATTATTTCATATTGAAAATTGATTAAAACTACAAATACTAGAGATGAAGCAACACATAATTAAAACCATGCAGTGCCTTAGTATCTTGAACTTCAGTGTTTTTGCTGTACAGCTCTACTGCAGTGGTTTTGTAGCCGTTTCCAGCAGAAACAAACACATTTATCACCCAAAAGAAAATGATAATCTCAAAAATAACTGCCCAGACACATGAAGCAATCAGCTGCTGAAACATTTAGCAGCTACAGATCCAAATATTTCCATCATAAGTTGATGGGGAAAAGGAGACTGAATACGGGACATAAGTTTATCAAGAGGTCAAAACATTTTTCCAGACGAATGATAAAGTTGCTCGGTGTGTGCTAGATGCCTAAATAGCTCATGGAACTGACACATTTTCAGTACACACTTTAGAAGTGGTAATATATCAGTGTTGAGTTTTTTATTGATGCACGCTGCTTCTTACGAGAGCATGCTGAATTAAGAAACTAAATATACTTCCACTCATTTTAGCACATCAAAGTTTTACTGCTGAACTTCACTTGGTCTGATATGACCAGTAGCTAATTGTTAGCGAATAATACCAGCAAGTTTACAGACGCTACTGCATCAGTTTGCACACTTTGAAGTCTGTTTGTAGGATTTAGGGAGATATGCTGGGAGAAATAGAATATATTATACATGATTATGTTTTCACTAGTGGGTAGTCAACTAAAAATTAGAATTGCTGTTTATTCATTGGGTTTGAATAAGCATTCCATGACTTCATAGGGAGTAGGTGTTCTTGCAGCGCTATGTTTCAACAGTAGGCCAGAGCAAACAAACCCAACAGTGACTCTACAGAAGGCCTTTCGTGTTTTTAAATTTTTTTTTTTGAACAACCACTATAAGTTCTTCTACAGTGTGGAAGGAAAAAGGGAGAGAAAAGGGGTCTCCAGTTGGTTGCAATGTAAAACTTTACCACTAGATGCCAGTAAATGTTACGCACTAGTCCTTAAGACGCTCCTGTGATTGGTTACTATGACCACAGTATTCTTTGGTCAACAAAAGAGCATAACTTTATTTTACAGACTGTCTAAGAAGTATCTAAAAATGACACTTTTTGCGTCACAAAATGCACGATAGCTACTCCCATGGACTGTATATAAAAGATGGATGTAGCCTCCAGGTCTACAAACTGAAGCCAAACTGAGGTAAGCTTGCAATCCTTTTAATAGTCAGCAGGGGGCGACTCTTCTGTTTGTGCGATTGTACAAAAGTCTATTGGGAAATTATTTTACTTCTCACTTGATTTATTAGCTCAGCAAACTTTTTCCCTCTGGGTTTCTGGTCTCAATCACTAGTTTCACGTCCTCTTCAATACAGCATGGTGTCAATTTTGTAAATTATGGTTCCATTTAGAGTAAAATAGGTGATAAAGCTGCATATGCATCATTGGGTCTTCAGTCAGATTGACCTCTCGCCCTGTATTTAGTAGTTGCCAAAGTAAGATGTCAACAGGCATTCCCGAACTTCAAGCTTCAAAGTGATATTCCACAAACCAAATGGGTGAAGTCACAAACCCAATCAAAAAGTTGACCTATAATGGGATCATGAAATTAAATTTAAAGTGAAGTTGAACTACTGACAAATATTTAAAAAAGGGAGACTTGTTTGTTTCACTCAAAGGTTTTTCAAGGTTACATTAAATAGTTTCTGCAAAATAACTGCAAAAAACCTAACTTTCAACCATTTCTTTGAAAATCTAGATATGCTGCTCTTCTTTGTGCCCACTTTGTACTCTGTAGATGACTTTTTGTACTCTGTAGATGACTTTTTTTTTGTCATTTATCTGCAGCAGAGAAACAGAGGAACACCTGAGCAGCCTGACAGATGCGCCAAGTGAAAAATCTCTCACTTTAGAGGAATCAGCACCCTGCTGTGAAGATCTTCCGCTGCCGAGCGACGAGGACAACCACGAATCAAGCTCTGCGGCTGACATCAAAGTCGAGGAGGAGATTGAAATTTCACCTCGAGATGAGCTTTGTGCTGCACAGCCAGAAACTGCTCATGTTTCATTAGAGGAGTCCGGGGACTTTTCTGAAATGACATCCAGTAGTTGTGTTAGAGAGGAGACACGCTGTGGGGAAGCAGAGGACAGCACGGTAGACAAAGAGATAGACGACATGTGCCAGCAGTTTCTTCTGGAAATACAAGAAAGCAATGAAATTGTGCGGGAAGAACCCACAGAGGGAGCTGGTGAGGAAACAGATGAAGAGCAGGAGAGTGCAATCTGTAGGACAAACAGTGACATTTGGGATGAACTTGAGGACGTTATATGTGAAGTGATAGAGGACAAGGAAAATGAGCAGTCTGAGAGGGAGGGTGTAGCTGGACAGGCAGATGTGGTCAAAGAGGAGGAGGAAGGAGATCAGACAGCAAAGGTTTTAGAAGAGAAGATGGTGGAAGTTCAACAAGAAGAGAGAAACAAGACAGACGTGAGAACAGAGGCAGAGGATGAGAGTAAGCTGACAGACCCAGAGGAAGATGAAACTTGCCTTCCAAAGAAAAGTGAGTTAGAACAAACAACCGAGGAGAAACAGGCCTTCAGTGAAGAAGCACAGCATCACGACGGAGGAGAAGTGATTTCAAAACAGCCAGAAAAAGAGAACAATGACGATGAGCAACGCAGGACAGAGCCGAGTGCAGATAAACAACTAAAGGAGGTCAGATCTGATACGACGAAAGAGAGCACAAAGTGTGAGAGAAGCGACCTCGGAGGCGTCGGGAGGCAGCTGGTCGTCTCCAAACAGCCCAAAGTTTACCAAGTAAAAGCGGTGCCGGTGGTGCCTCCGAAGCCTCAGCACTGCAAAATCACGGCGTTGACAATCCGGCAACAGCAGCAGCAGCAAAGAGGGAGGAGAGAAAACTCAGCCAGAGTCCCGACAGAGCAGGAAAGAGTCTGTGCAGCAGAACAGGTGAGAGACGACGAGAGGAACGAGAAGCCGACGCTCAGAGGGGGCGACAGGGAGCGACGGAGGGACGGGACCGAAGGCGCCGCCAGCAGAAACAGCCCCCTCAGCATGTGTTTCGATGAGGCCGTCGCCATAGCAACCATGAGGCGGGAAAAGGAGAGAGCGCGAGAAGGAGATGGAGATGCAGACGGGTCGGGGAAGTGAAGTGCAGCAAACGTTTCTGTACAGTATATCGATTTAAACATATGTTTCTGTACAAACTATGTAGCATAAAAGGCTGTGTTTTCTTATGTTGCCTGAGGATTGTGTTTCAGTATAACTTACAGGATTGCTCATCTAATGCAGCTGAAGATGTTTAAGGTGGTGCAGTCAGGAAACTAGTAGTTTTTTTTCAGTATATTTGGGAGAAAAGACTTTTTCCCATTAGTTAGAAGGTTAAATAGGACAAAGAGACGATGACTGATATGCAACAGAGGAATTAAAGGAGAAGTTCTGCTTCAACACCAACAAACTGCATTTTTTTTTTCATCTAAACTTGTGTGAAGTCTGTAAAACAAAACATCCCATATGTTTAAGTCAATTTAGATCTAAAAATTTAAACGTTTTCATTGTTAAATATATTGCAATATTCTCACTATAGAATATTTTCTAATTATAAAGTGAATATGTATATAAACCGTTTATAAAGAAAAAGGTTGGCAAATATAGAGCGAGATGAAGAATTAAATGTTTTATTACACTGAATATAATTTCTGCAGGAGTTTTTTGGATTGTGTGAATAAAAACATTTTCAAGACAATAACGGTCCTTTGTTTTTTTTTCAACCCAACTTTAATCTTTATGTTTTATAATTTAGATGTTCCTGGAACAAGTATCACATAACATATACTCACAATAGAGCTGAAGAATCCATGTTAGTATTATTATATTAGTATGTCCCTGACATTTGATCTGGACACCGAAAAGTGTAAATGTTATTGGAAATTATTTGTTGTGGAAAAAACGTGTGCACGATTAACTGATAAACTCACTGAACGACAAATTTCTTATTGCTGACACTAAATAGATGCCAAATTAATAAATAAATAAATTAGATTGGAAATGATTATTGGGAGAGAGAAAAGACAGAAAAGAACAAAGGAGCTGCTTAAGGAGACATACAACTGGCAGCAACTTTTTAAATGATATTTTTCTTCAATCATGTCTTTGTTCATACGAATGGAAAGAAAACATCCCTAATACACATTTAGGGGTTCATTTTACTACATTCTGTCTATTTGCATCTGTAGATTTCAATTATATATATATACGGGCTGCAAGGTGGCGCAGTTGGTAGCACTGTTGCCTCACAGCAAGAAGGTCGCCAGTTCGTGTTCCGGTCCCCGTGCAGCGTGGGTTCTCTCCGGGTTCTCTGGCTTCCTCCCACAAGTCCAAAAACATGTTGAGGTTAATTGGTGATTCTAAATTGTCCGTAGGTGTGAATGTGAGTGTGCTTGGTTGTCTGTCTCTAAGTGTGGCCCTGTGATAGACTGGTGACCTGTCCAGGTGAACCTGCCTTCACCCTGAGTCAGCTGGGATAGACTCCAGCCCCCCACGACCCTAGTGAGGATTAAGCAGAATATAGATAATGGATGGATATATACACACACATTTGAAAGCAGAAGTTTACATATACTGTATAAAAATACATAAAACCTTTATTTCTCTCACTATCTGACATTAAATCAGACAAAACTTTTCCTGTTTTAGGTCAGTTAGGATTACCATAATTAAACCAAAAGTTTAGTCTTATTTAATGTCAGCCAGTTAGGAAAAAAAGGTTTTTATGTCTTTTTATACAGTGTATGTAAACTTCTGCTTTCAACTGTCTGCTCTGGAAAATGATATATACACTGCACACTGAATTTCTCCTTATAAACTCTTGTGCTTAAACGCGCTATGTAAATAAAGCTATCATTACTATTATTAAATATTATTGATATTATTATTATTATTAGTAGTAGTAGTAGTACTAGTAGTAGTAGTAGTAGTGGTTGTCGTAGTAGTAAAGTCAAGTAGAAGTTCCTAAGACAATTATATATAATAATGGCTATTATATTGTTTATTTATTTTTCAATTTTTTCTCCATGTTTGTTTATAGATATTTTCTTGCTAACTAAAATCTAACTACAACTAAAAGTAAAATTTTAACCGAGATTTTTAATGCGTCTTTATTAGAAGTTTTACGATCGTCGCCTAAACGTGACGTCGCCTCCTAAAGTCCCGGATGTAAATCAAAATAAAGCAGCTGGACGGAGCCTCTCCTCTCCGCTGGAGCTCCAGATGACTGAAAAGCCTCGAATTTCCTTCTCCTCAGTTGTGGACTCCGCTCGGCTTCATGTCTTTCTCCTCCTCCGCCTTCGGCTCGCAGCTCGCAGCCATCCTGGACGTGCTGGCGAAAGCTGCGGTGGCAGAAATCACGAAGCTGGTGGAGGACGGGAGCGTTTCTCTGCGGCTGGAGATGTGTCGAAGGGACGCTGAGATACAGGAGCTCCGGAGGAATCTGAAGCTGATGGAGGCTGAACTCTGCAAAGCCCAAGAAGCTGCCACGACTCGAGTGACGGAGGAGAGAGCAGCAGCCGGGAGCCCGGTCCTCCGGAGAGGTGAGCGGTGGTAAGCTGGTTCCCACATCTGAGCGTGTCACAGAGAAGTCCATCCAAAAAGTCTCAAACCCAGAGTTAGATTGCCTGTAAACAAATGTTTGTGCATGGTAGGAAATAAGTTAACATATCTGACGAATCATGATGGTCTTCTGGTCATTTTCGGCTGCATACACTGAGTTTATTAGAAATTCACATTTTTCTTATTTGATCATCAGAAAAGTAACTTCCTGTTCCTCCAGACTTGGACGTGCCCTGATAATAATAACAGCACTTGTCTTCATTCTACAAAGTGCTTCACAAAAGAATTAATAAGACAAGACTTAATCGATTAATAATAAATCAAAAACTGTGAATGAGTTAGATTTCACACAGGTATGAAAACTTTTGATAAGATATTTGAAAACTGAGTTTGGAAGGCCTGACTCTGAGAGCATGATTTAGTCATCGGTCGGGATCAGGGAGCGACCAAACTGTCACTGCCTGCTGATTTACGATGATTCACAGGCTCATATAGGGTGGGTTCTTAATACAGATATGGGTTTGGTTGTGTAAAGCTTTAAAGGTCAACAGTAAAATTTTGTAACCTATATGAAAATGAACAGGCAGCCAGTTCAGGGAGTTCTGCAAGGTGTGTCAGAAAGGTTCCAGGACTGGCGTCACAAAGGAGATACATCAAACCCAAACTACAAACTACCAGTTTTCCCCTTCAGATGATCAACCAGCATGTCTACAAAGAGATCCTGCAGCGTTTGCTTCATTCAGTGAGAAGAGGCGAGGGTTGTGGTAGGACAAGTCGTGGCTGCTTCACCATGACAACCTGCTCACAACACCCTGAGCATCCCACAGTTCATGACTGAGAAGAACATCACGGTGCTGGAGCAACCTCCCTACTCCCCCACCTGGCTTTGTGGGATTTTTTTCCTCTTCCTCAAGCTCAAGTGAATCATCAAAGGACCCGTTCTGAAGACGTGGACAACGTCAAGATGGCTGTGATGATGGAGCTGTGGAGGATCTCAGGAAGAATCCTTCCAGGAGTGCATGGCGGCGTGAAGAGAAGGCTGGGAATGTGTGTTAGACTCCAGGAGGATTACTTTGAAGGGGAAAACTTATAGTTTATAGTTTGGATTTGAAATATATCTTTTATGACACCAGTCCTGGAACTTTTCTGACACATCGTATGACTGATTGTAGCGGGATAATCCAGCAACATGTTGAACCAAGTGGAGCCGATGAAGGGAAGTCTGAGTAATACCTGATCCTCTAAAGATACACATTTTTGAACATTTTTTGTACATTTGTCTTTGGGTTGCAGACAAAAAAGAAGATCAGGACACCAGTGCCGCGTATCCTGAATCCAAAACTGCTGATTCATTCTGTGAGGCCCAAAATGAAACAGACGAGAACATCGTGCCGGTGGTTAAATACGAGCCGGCGGATGAACTTATCACCACAGAAACGACAGAGAACACGGCGACAGCAGACGTTTGCTTTGAAGCGGGAAGGCGAGACGACTCGATGTGGCCTCTTCCTGCTTGTAGTGTGTTTGAGAAAAGCTCTGTTGCCTCGCAGCAGCAAATACAGACTTTCCCTTCTCATGCTGAGCAATATTCTGCTCACAGAAACACAGAAAGTTTGTATAATTCTTCATCAACTGCAACAGAGGAAATTGCAGATAATCGCTTAAGTGTGCCGATAAAAGTAGAGGTAGAGGTTCGCCCCATGTGTATGTTAAACACTGAGTCGGTTCATAGTGAACAGTTCAGACGGGTGTCTCGTCCGGCGGTCGGTCAGGACTTGCTTTCTGCTTCTCAGCAGGCCGGATCTTCACAAACTCTGCCCCCAGCTCAGAGGTCCACAGCCGGCATGTTAACATCGAACCCTGAAGATCACATCCACAGCAGGAACAGCTTGAGAGCAAGAAGGCAAATGAACGTGTGGAGATCGAATCAGAAACTCTTCATCTGCTCAGTGTGCAACAAGGGCTTCCCCCGCCTGACTCAGCTGGAGGAGCACAAGTCCACCCACCAGCCCTTCAAACCCTTCAGGTGCCTCAAATGCGGAAAATCTTTCACCCAGAAGACCCGGCTGAAGACGCACCAGAGCGTCCACACGGGGGAGAGGCCGTTCAGCTGCAAAATCTGCGGCAAGATGTTTTCGAGGCAGGACAACTGCCTGAGACATGAGCGGTTCCACAGCGGGCTGAAGCCCTACAGCTGCCGGCAGTGCGGCAAAAGCTTCACCGTGCTGGGAAACCTCAAAATACATCAAGAGATCCACCTGCAGGGGAGATAACGCTGCAGCTGACGGGGATGCACTGCAGGAGTTTGAACATTTTGCACAAATCTTTATCTTGCCAGTGTACTTTGACAGTTTTACTGCGTTAAATGTTACCATGAAAAGTCTTTTTTATGTTTGTTTTTGGACACGTAGATGCCGACAGTGTCTTCGCCGTGGATGAGGAAAATGTGATATGTGTTATATTCATCTGTCGCTCTGTGATGCTGAAAAAGTGGACGGATTTCAAAGACTTAAATCTCTATCTTGCATCACTGAAACTATATTGTGGGTATTTTTAAACTCTGAATTCCCACAGTTCTCTCTGAAATATTAGAGAATACAAAATAAAAGCCCACAGCTCTGATCTGACGTCCGATAAACTAGACAGTTTGTGAGGTTTTCTGTCGACATTGAAACCCAATAAACATTTTCCTGGAAAAGAAGTAAACTGTTAAGAATAAAATAACCAGTATCTGACAAATAAATGCAGTTATTAAAGTTCCAAAGTTAGCAAAACAAAGCAGTTAATTTGCAGCATCGTCCACAGCGGCGTCCAGCCGGGGTTATAGGACTTCTGCAGTGGTTCTCTTTTAATGTAAAATACTGGAGATGATTCAAATGCAACAGTCTGATCAATGTCTCACACAGTCGGAATCATTTAAACTTTAAAAATCTAGTTGTGGCAACATATGAAGGGCTTATAGAAGAAATGCTGGGAATCACTGTAGTAAGATATTTTAACATTTAATAGGTGAGTTTGAGTATCTGGAGGTAATGTTACGCACATCAACAACGTCAGGTAGACTCGTAGTTACGCTGCGACTGGTCCAAACTTTACTCTTGATATCTGTAACATCACTGTGTACAGTTTGAGATGTCTGTAATCCAGTTCTGACGGACGGTTGTGCATGACGTTGCTCTAGTCGGATATAATGTCGGCAAAGAATTTGAACACCGTTAGAAAAAGAAGTAATGGAGACTGCTGCGGTGGATGAGATTGTTAGAAAATGCTGTGATATAGGAAGAATTCATCAGCGAGGAATGTGTGGAGAACGAGAGTTTGGTTCATTAGAGACGAGTGGTTAAAGTTTACAGCATATTAGGATTTTTTTGTCTTTAGGTGGACTTAAGGCTCCACAGCAAAGTCAGAACAGTAATCCATTGTATGCAGTTATAGATGCTGTGTCATAATATGTTGAAGAAGCGAGCTGCCTCCTACTTCCTGTAGCTTCTGGTGTAACTACAGATATCTGCAACGTCATTAAAGTTTGAGATATGTGGAGCGTCATCAGAATCAGAAAGGATTGATTGCCAAGTAGGTTTATCTATACAAGGAATTTGACTTGTGCATACCAGCAAACTGTGACATAAAGAATAAAAAGTGTTGTATGTGTTTAGTGTAACAAGATAACTAAGAAGCATCATTTTGACTTGTTCAGACTTAAATTAAGTATCTAAAAAGGTCAATGCAGATGTCTTGGATTGAGGGGAATTAAAGATATAGTGAATTAAAGTTATGACCAATCAGAATTAAACTGCAGATGTCTGAACAGGGAAATTAAAACTAAAACTAACTCAAATGCAGATATTCACAGTCTGAGCTGTAGATGTCTGCAGTAAGAAATCCCAAACATGTGACTGGTGACTAGTAATAAGAAGAATGTCACTGTGAGTATCTGAATGACGGATATCTGCAACACACATCCAGCCGGGCTGCTAAATGTTGAACGAGTTTGCTGTAGAATTACTGGTCTAAAACCTCCTTGTCATCATATTACCCAACCGTACCTTGTCTACCCTGTTGTTGGGGAAGCTCTGCTGTGTGTTGTGTGTCAGCCTTAAGCCTTCATTGTGTTGCTGTTTACTTGAATCCATTTTGAGTTTGGGCCCTGATTTTTGCAGCTGCTTTTACTAGTTTTCTATGTTATATTTGTTTTAGAGTATTCCTCCTTTGTGTCCTTCCACTTGATCCCTGACAGCTGTGCAGGAGTTTTTCCTTTCCTAAGAAGGTTGTGAGTCCACAATGATCTAAATTAAATACACTTTCTTTGTCAGTGTCATTATAAAAATGTGTATTTCCATTTCAAGTTTCATGAATTCATAAGTTTCATGATATCCTGTTTTAATTTGGAGAAATCAGCACTCAGACAAAAAAAATGTTGGTGGTGCATCATCATTGTCACGATCGTTCTATATGTTTCAGTGCCTTAGAGATTTCCTGGTGTCTGTTGTGGAAACCTGCCTATGACTCTTTGTACCTTTGTGCCGTTTGTCTGCACTGTGTGTTTGACTCTAATTGTCTCAACTCACAAGTGATTTACTTTAAGCTAATTAAGTAAAAACAGTCGGGTGCAGCGTTGATGATTTGTGTGTGTCACAATAAAAAAAGGTGTTCTTATGCAATAATCGATTATGTTTTATGTTTTCACTTCATTCAGATCTATTTGGAGAGATTTGTTTGAGATTTGCTGTCAAAGTTACCGATTTTTCTTGAGTGCAATAAGCCTTCAATGCTTCAACTAGAATTTTATCGAAAGGTCAAATTTCTGCTGAACCATCTCTGATTTGCCTTCGATTTTTAAAGCATAAAATATGGATTTCTAAAGATATTTAAACATTGGTGGCATGATGAGAAATGACGACGAACATTTCAGGCTTCTATCTTTGAGAAATCCTGGCATACTGCTGTTCAAACATAGCTCCAAATTTAATGGGTGAAAAACTGCTGAAAGTGGGTCAAGAATGTACTTCATATACCTCACAAGATATGATTTAAAATATATATAAAAAAAAAAAATTACATGTAAACAAATCAGAGATGGTCAAGCAGAAAGCCTCTAATGGTTTGAGTTGGAATATTATTTAATTTTACAGTCAAACATAAAAGATCAAATCACCATTTATAAAAATACCGATTTTTAGACATTTTTTAGTTTTTGCCTAATCTTACATGGCTGACGTGTAAATGAATACTATTTTCTGTGATATTACTAATTGTTATCTGTACTCTAACAAAACAGGGAAAATATGAAATAGCAGCTTTAAAAATATTAAATCCTAATTATACTAGTGCATAATTTTTCCTACAGATAATATAATTGTATTTGTAAAATAATATTTTTTTGCTCAATTACATGCAGTAACATTAGTGTAATTTTATGGGCAAATCATGTAAAAAAAAATCAAAAATCCAGTTCGGAAAAACAGATTTTTGATGTGGACATTATTTGTAATTTTGCCATAATTTTATGTAATTTTATATTTTTGCATGTAAATTAATACTTTTTTCCCTGTGATTTTACTAGTTGTTATCTGTAATATATATATATAAAAAAAGTGGAACATTTGTGAATTAACACTTAAAAATATTCAACCCTTTAAAAATACATGTTTTTTTTCTTTCAAAAAATGGCAAATATCTGTAAAATAACAATCTGGCTAACATTTAAATTACTACTTTTTTATAGAGCCTTTACAAGTTATTATCTGTAATGTAAAAAACAAAAACAGGAAAATCTATAATATTCAATTTTATTATTATTATTTATTTATTTTTTACAGTGTGCTGGTTGCTGTGGTAACGTCTAGTGCTGCAGCTAATTATTTTCTCTGATGATTAATCGGTTTGTTATTTGTTTGTTTGGTTTCTTTTTCTTAAGTTTGGTAGGAAAAAAAAAAAGCCAGAAACTGGTGACAGGTGTTATTCCCTGTTTGTCCACTGCCCTCCGTCCAGCAGGTGGCGGTAGTGCAGCTCTCAGACGGCAATCAGCCTCGTTTAAAGACCGTAGAAGAAGAAGCCTTTGTACCAATTAGCAGCTGCTAGCTGGAAGCGGCGCTTATTAAAAACATCACTCAGCTGATCAAATGGCCGCAACCTGTGAGCAGACAGCGGCTCCTGCAGCGGCCCGCGTCGCTTAACCACAGCCACCGACTTCCAGCCGCCTGCCGGGCACTTGAGCCACTTTTGTCGGCTTTAAAGTTGAGCTTTTCTCGCCACTTGTTCGGTTTGTGATCATGTCGAGCTGCGTCGCTCTGCGCGCTCAGATCGCCTCCGTGATTGACGCCTTGTCCAAAGCCGCGGCGGCACAAATCGCCAAAGTTGTGGAGGACGGGATGGTGGTGCTGCGGCTGGAGGTGTGTCAGCGGGACTCCGAGATCCAGCAGCTGAAGAGCAACATCGAGCTGCTGCACGGTGAGCTGAGGGCAGCGCAGCAGGCGGTGACCCTGCGACCCGACCACCGCGGCGGACACGGTGAGTAGGAGCCGGGCTGGACCACACCTAGACCCGGATAAAGAGCCGCGGTGACCCGGCAACACACCGGGCAGCGGCTCAGTGTCGCACCGACGTCGGACACAGCTTCTGTTATGGATAGAAATACAGACGTCTCAGTTTTCTGACACCCACAGATGAGTTTAACAAGGATTCCTAAATAACTGAATACTGTTAAATAGTTTATTGTAAGAACAGCTTCTGTGTTGCCAGGTTGTTAAAAACCCCCATTAGCACAACACTTTCCTGGGCTTTTTTTTTTTTTTTTTTTTAACATTTATTTATTTATTTTAGCTCTTAGAGTCATTAGGGAGCACCCTGTGATCATTAATAATATCTTTAATAGCATTTTAAAAAATTAAAGGGTTATAAAATGCTTTGACAGACGGAACAAAAACAAGATGTACAGAAAACCAAAATAACAGCGAAGCAGTGCAGCATTATTGTGAAATTAGGATAAAGATAAAAGGAGAACAGATAAACCATGTCCATATGAATGTCATTAAACAATTTTCTTCAGGATTAATAAAGTTCTATCTTTTATAAATTGAGTAACAAACAATTCAAACCTTCTTGAGCAATCAAAGGACGGCAACACATGAATGCAAGTCTGTAAAAATGGTTTCGAAGCAGTGAATTGGTTTAACCACCAATCTTTTGAAAAAGGCAGCAGGACACGTTGACCAAAATCTTAGAAGCAGCATTTACAGCTGCAGATTTTACATGTTAAAATCATTTAATAACATGTACGTACAGTTTGATTGTTGAGGTTTATACACTTTTTTTTATAGTAGCTGACAGCAGATGTCATAATTCATGTTAGTAGGTGAGAACTATGTGTGTTAGTGGACATTTGGCAAAAAGGGAGTTGCTTGATTTGTGGTTAGATTAAAGGTTTGTTCATGTTTGTTCGACGTGATTGTATTCCTTACATGTGTTCTTCATCTTGTGAGCTTATTAGAATTAATTTGAGTACATTTCAAATCACCTGCTTTTCTCTATGTGGGGGGCAGTATTTGATCTTAAAAGGTATATTTACATTTTTATTGGGATTTACATGAGCCCTATTAACATTGCAAACTACAGAAGGTATATGAAGAATCATATTTAACTACTGATGCAAACTTCTAAAAGGAAAGCTGCAGATTCTCCATTTATCACCGCATTAGAGGATCAGTCGTTGTGTTATGTGTGGGATGATAATCGTGGCTTTAATGTACAAAACTGACATCAAAGTTTATCGCTGTCTCTCCACAGAAAGTCGGAGTGGTGCTGGTGATGAGAGGAACCTGCTTAATAAATCTCTCAAGGGCAACCACATCCTGCCTGGAGCTGAAGTTCAGGTGAAATGTGAACCTGTGGAAGGTGGAGGTGAGGAGGCCAGAAGGCAGCCTGACAAGCCAAAAGAAGAGCTGCGTCTGTACGAAGGTACGCAGTGGAGGTCGACGACACAAAGCGAGGACGGATGCAACAACTCCAATTATTTGAATTTAGGGCAGGGCTCCCTGTCGTGTCTCCCTGAGTCTTCTTTGGACAGCGGACTGGTCGTGTCTTGCAGCAGCAGCAGCAGCAGCTCCGGTGGGTTTCATCAGAGTCCGTTCAGCCGCGGACTGCTGGGTTACAGTCAGTACCGAAGCTCGTACAACACGGTGCGGAGGCGGACTGTGAAGAGGCTGATGTTTAAGAAGGGCTTCATCTGCCCTTACTGCGGCAAATGTTTCGAGCGCGCTGGGCACCTCGAGAGACACAAGAGGATTCACACCGGTGAGAAACCGTATCGCTGCGAGATATGTGGGAGGAGGTTCAATCAGAAATGCAGCCTCAAGGAGCACATGAAGATTCACAGAAGATGTAAGTAAGAAACAGCTTTGTTCAAGTTGGTGGTTTGAATTTTTAAGCCAGTGGAGGAAAAAACCTATTAGGGAAAATGAGGAAGTTCTTCTTTTGATTTTTGACATCACCTGCCTTTACAATTTTGTCTACTGACGCTCATCAATAGGAAATTGTTGCAAAAATAACAACATTTATCCTTCTGAACTCCAAGCAGTTTCTGGGCGTTTGTTGCTCCTTTTGCATTTCTACTTAATCTGGGTTCATTTTTTCCTGCAATATTAATGCATACACCTCTAAGGAAACAGCAGAACTGTGGCTCGAAGTAGAGAGAACTCAACAATGTCCTATGCAGTGTAGCAAAGTTAAAATCACACGACTCGTTAAATAAAAAAACAAATGTTGAATTTCTCTGATTATACATTGAAAACACCTGGAATCAACATGTACACAGGTGTGTTCACAGGTGTGGCCAATGCTGGAAGAAAAAATGCTGTACTTAATGATGGATAATTTACTACTTGCATTTTTGTTTTTTAAGTTTTCATATTTGTCTCCTCTGTACAAACACAGTCTGCAGTTCAGCTGAAAAGTCCCTGAATTATTGTGAGCTGACTGTTGGTCGCAGCTGAGTCAGTAATGGCTTCAAGGTGGCGTTAAGGATCCGAAAATATTTTATTATTTACAGAATCTAGTTTAAGCAAATGTTTTTGGGAGAAATTTGAAATTAAACATGTAGAAAAATGTTATTTAAATGGTATATCATGATTTTGAGCTCAGATTTGGTGAATTTTCCCAGACTAAACGGCACATCACAGATGAGCCAAGGACAAAGACAGTTGGAAACTTGAAAATTGGAAAATTCTGTTTATATTTACAGTTTCTGACTCATTTTGTTGTGTAATTGTGTCATTTTGGCATTTTTTTTTTTTAAAAAAAAACAACAAGCCTTTGAAATTCCTTATTGGGTTTTGGGATTCAGAGAGTAAAGATAAGAATTACTTTTATTTTTTCAAAAATTGCTCAAACGGATAGTTTAGTTTTTAGTCCTGTCCTGAGGAGCTGGCTCTTCTGTGCTGAACCATGCGTTCGTGGAGCGGTTGTTTTGTCTCCTCGATGTAGAAGAGCCAGCTCCTCAGAACAGGACTCAGCAGTCCACCTGCATCTTAAGGACAAAGGACACTCATTTGAAGACAACAACGTACAGATTTTGGCCTGCAGGGAGGACAGATGGTTTGAGAGAGGGGTCAAAGAAGCCATCTATGTCAAAATGGAAAGACAATCCCTCAAACAGGTCTGAGGCATCATATCTCACCGGTTTACAGTTCAGTCCCCAGATCTCTCCCCAGGAAGCTGAAACCACATTCACACCTATAGCCACAAAAGACCCTAACGAACCCCATTGTGGCAGGGGGAGCACTAACGACTCACACAACGCGGGGGAGGAGCAACAAACCCCCGAAACTCAGGTGTTTATGGCTCCTTAAGGATAGAAGTATCTGGAAGTCCCAACTAGTCAGTCAGAACTGATGAAGCCTCTTGGATGAGAGCTGGAACGTCTTCAAGGAACTCAAGCAAGTCCAGTTGCTACGATTAATCCATGAGAGTAACCATGACCTGGATGACTGAGAATCTTCACAGACATGATAGTATAGTTGGCAATGAACTGATTAATCACTGATGTTCCACAGCAAACACATTATTACAGCTTTTATAAAACGTCTTTAATGCACGCCGGTGTGGAAAATGGCAAATGAGCCCCCAAAGTATTCTATAGGTGGAGTTTGTTCATATTGTAAAAGCTGTGATCATTCTTCCTGGCAGCAGCACAAACTGGTCTGAAAAATCTTTGCTTTGTCTTAGTTTGTGTCTGTAGAAAACACAAGATCATGTTCTGCAGCCCCTGGAAGGTCCATGTTTTTGGTTCCAGTGCAAGGATCCAGACTCAGTCCAGTTCAGTTGGACCACGCCAAACATAATCACAAACACAAGCTAATTCTTAAACATACTCCAGTGATTCAGTAACTTCACAGCCTCGGCTTCGGTCACAGAAAGACTCAGTGTTGTACTTGGCAGGTTTGGAGCGGCAATTAGATTAGATGTGCATGTAAATGTGGGTGTTGCCGCAAGAGAGTCTGCACACTCAGGCACTATTCTCCAGATAAATGTTTGAATATAAATTTGAGAATGAAGACATTCCTTCGATGTTTTTCCTGCTGAGCCAGGTCAGGCCCTCCGGCTGTGGAGCTGCTGGGGATTAAGGACCCTTCTGCAGGATTAGGGAGGTCTGCAGATTTGTGGGTGACCGATCTTAGACCCGCTTGGTATTTATATTTAACTGGACGACTGAAAGGTTAAAGACTTCCTGGGATCAGTTTTAAAGTAGTCTAGATGGAGAAAGGATGCGGAGAAGCAATAAATTTTATCTCCTAACTTGAGGGATCTGCATCTCGCTGACGCGCTGGTAGCTGGTTGTGTTTCTCGCTGTGTTATTTTTATTCTCCGTCTTGGAGTCTCGGTTCAGTTCACAGCTGGACGTCTCTGGCTGTGACATTCCTCGGTGTCACAGTGAGCAGAGAAAAACGTTGTGGTTTAGGCGGAACGACAGTCGAGAGGGGGGATGGTGATTTAAAAGTGCCCTGCTGACAGCTGAGTTTGCCCGGCTGGCTTTAGAAGAAGACTGGCCTTTTTTATCCTCTCTGCTTCCCAGAGCAGGACTCAGAGCTGCCCCTCTATAAGATCCATCTGATATGGATTTGTGCACACAACAGTGAAACTATTGGAGTATGTAAACTGTCCTCAAGACCTTCAGGTGATGCTCTAATCTTTAGTTCTGCTAATCTTAATCTTGCAGTAAGCTTCATTAAGAACCATTAGTGCAGGCCCCTAATTAAGAACATCGTCCTGTGGATGCAAATAAAGCATACTAACTTTTCCCTTAGAAAATGTTTATTCTAGTTAAGATTCTGATGCGTCACTTGTTCAATTTCGAGACCACAGTCGGCCTTAACGGCTCCCACACCCCATAAAACACAGTGAATGACTATTTAATTGTCTAAAAATGTCAAATTTTTAAATTCCTTCAGAGGATTAGACCTGTAAGGCTGCCAGCTTTTAACAAAAATATCAAGTTCAGACAAAGGACAGTGGACCAATTTCGTAGAATTCATTCTAATACAGCCCACACAGTCTAGAGTAATGTGGTGAAATGGACGTTGGTTTATTCTTTTTGCTCTGCAGCTGCGTTTTTAAGTGTCAGCAAACAGCTTGAGCTTTATCCACAATTTTTCCATCTGTGGTGTCAAATCCAAAATGCTTCCACACGCATGTCTTTCCAGATGGTTTCGTGTTAATTAAGAAGAAGAGGTAGCTGCTTTTCTCTTGGTTGTATTAGTGGAGCTTAATTTGCAGATATCCATAGGGCAGGGCTGCAGCTAATAAATGTTTTTCTACAGCAATTAATCATTAATCAATTAATCAATCTGCCAAAACCCCCACATTTTTTACTTTGTAACGTAAGACAAGGAAAAGCTGCAAATTTGTACATTTTTAAAAAACATTTTAACCAAATCTTTTGTATTTCTGATTAAATAATATTTGAAAGGATCAATTATTAAAATAATTGTAATTTATTTTGCTTAATGGACTGATCAGCCAATTATAAGTGCTTTACAACACCCTCACTGGAGCACAAGACATGAATTTCTGTTCTTGTGGATGAATTTGGACTGATTTAATATAACATTTTTTACCCAGGTTTGAAGATTTGTTTGAATTTTGACCGAGCTGGTCTTTAATTCAGGCCAGGGATGTGCCTGCACAATAAAACACTGCTTACAAATATCAGTTTCTCAATGACTTAAATTGCATTAGGTTTGTTTTTTAAGCTGTTAGTCCCGTTAAACCTGGAGTGGCTGAATAAAGAAAATCTGTTAACAGTGCTGATAAACTTGGAATAAGATGCAGGACCAGTGGTACAGACACTGATGTCAGTCTGGAGAGGTCATACGATGTTTGGGAACGGTCACGGGGACATAAACAGACTGACTGGTTCAGGAATTAATGCATAAAACTGGTATAAACTGCACAGCTGTTGCGATGGTATTAATGGGATGTTTACAGTTTTAAAGAGCCCCTTTTAGGCTTTTTAGGATTTGTTTCTTTTCTTTTTATTTGCTTGTTTGTGCATGTAAAAGGTCTGCAAACTTAAAGAGCACAAAGTCCAGGCCAAGCTATTCTCTTTCACAGCAAACAGCGCTCTGTACCTACCAACTAAAACGTCTTGTTTAAAGTCCAGGTTTTCCTTCTGTTACTTATTTATGTCACCATGTGACACAGTGGGGTCATTCCATCCTAATTATTGAAATTTTTTCTACTCGACCATCTTCGATTTGCCTGAAATACCAAATGTTGATATTTCTAAAGACATTTTTGGAATTTTAGCATAATATATCAAATACTTAAGAGATAAAAGGGTTGTTTTCTAAACTATATGTAGTTGCATATCATGATAATATAAAACAAAACACTAGGGCTGGTCTGAATAGCATTTTCTGGTTTCTGGGATTTTTGGGCCCCTTTAATGACGAATAGCCGAATATTGTGGCGGGCGAATATTCGGATATCTGGATACCACCACAACGACCGATTATTCGGCTATTCGGGTCCAGCCCTGCAAAACACATAGAATACTCTTTAATGTTATTTTCATTAACCTTCCATAAGTGATTGAGCAGTTTCTGTAAATTACATGGATTTAACTGCCTTTGAATCGCTCATGGATGTATGCATAAAATCATGCAAAATATCAAAACTAATTAGCGTCGACACGCGTTTGGTAAAAATTATATCATCAGCAGATTGTGTTGTGCTGTGAAGTTGCAAAGCAGAATTTCAGACCCGTTGTCACCTGGAACACACAAACCTCGTCATTTGTTGCTGCTTCTCTGTCTTATGTATATTCTTCTGGTGCAGTTTTGATTTAAAATGTTCCTTTACATCAAACACACCAGCAGCTGCCAACATGATGCCTAACACACAGACTATGGAGTGTTCTTTTTTTGCCAGTATGATGATGCAACTGAACATGGCTTGTTGTTAATGTTCTATTACATGTTTCTACCATTTATAGCTCCTACAGATTTTCTATGAATTTTACAGGTTTATTAATGCCTCTTACACCCCAAACATAAGAGTCTGAACCTATAAATGAGCACAATATGGGCTTTCATAGATTGTTTAAATGTCATAGACTTGTCTAAATGTCTATCTTTCTGCCGAAACAGATCTTCAGTCGACACCAGTTGAGTTCGAGGTGGGCGAACAGAAGCAGACTCCTGAGGCGAAACCATGTGTCGAGATGCATCATCCCGAAGGAGAGAGTCAGGCTGGAGAAGTCCTATGTAAGAACGAGGACATTCTGCCAACACCTGTACAGGTAAAATCTGAGCCCATGGAGGAGAAAATAACACAACCACTGTTTCACGAGCAGACAAGGGAAGGATCTGAGAACCTCAGTGAGAATTTCACAGCGTTTGAGAGAGACGGCCAGCAGTGGATGTCCAGATTACAAAACAACCCGGAGTTGGACAGCACAGAGTTTCTTAGCAGCTCATCGCAGAACATGACATCCTACCCGGGGATGGCTCAGTTACTGCAACCACCAGTCGAGGCTTCCTGCAGCACCTTCTCTTTCCCAGGGAAACCATTTGGGGAAAACAAAAACCGCATGATCTCCCAGACACTTTACGGATCCTCAGACACACTTATGATGTCAAGCGAAGCAGGTTTGCACAATATGGCAGAGGCCTCGATGAATCACCACCGACAGAGGAGACCCAGGTCCTTTCAGGTGATCAAACCAAAGAAGTGCTTTGCCTGTTCGTACTGTGGCAAGATCTTTGAGCGAGCTGGCCACCTCGAAAGACACTTACGAATACACACCGGTGAGAAACCGTACGGCTGCCACATCTGCGGGAGGTGTTTCAACCAGAAGAGCAGCCTCAAGGGCCACATGAAGACGCACAGAAATGGTAGGAGACGAACAGTGTCACCCCCAGAAGTAACCTGTTTACTGTTATTTGATTTTCTGATAACTCATTTTTTTAAAATAGAATACCAGAAAAAGTACCTGTCACATGACATACCCAAAGCCAAGTATGACTCAAACAAACTTGCACAAAATAGCAAAATGCACATCGTCATCTGTGTTAGATTAGCATCACAAAAGGCCAATAAAACCAGCAGATCTTTACATTTGAGTTGCTGGGAACAGTCAATATTATGTCTCCCAAAATTACACGCAGGTGTACAGTGGTAATAAAGAAAAGGAATATTTTGTATTGTCATTATTAGGGACGTACCGATCAATGTTTTCAACTTTTTGTTTTGCTGACACAATCTAAATCATTCATTAATTAGTACCAATAAAAGTAGTGTTGTATATTAGCTGTAATACCTGGTTGTGCCACCAGGACACTGTTCATACTGTTTAATACTTTAGCAGCCAGAGGAGGCTGGTACTTCTGTGTTGTCAGGCAGGAGTTTAGCTAGTAAAGGAGCAACATGTCTTCTGTGAGGCTTAATGACCTCCAGAGAGCTCAAAGCATTAAATCGAGCCGTGATAACGTGGAATAGGGAAGTTATTTCTCAGCCGCATTTGAAACAGCAACCATGTGACTTGTTGTATTTGTCCGTGTGACAATTGATGTAAACAAAGAATTAGACTCGGCTTGCTGCTTATACCAGTCTACTGCCACAATGGCTCTGATCTCTTGCAATCAGGTTCAGGATTTCCCTAATTAATATTATTGCTTTAACATGCATTATACATCACTGGATGCTCTGCACAATCTTGGGTATGATGAATACTGTGTGCTTTGGCTCTCTACATCACTTTTGTGGGTATGTCTGAAGGAAAGCAGGAGGAACATTAACATGAAAGTAGCCTACGTCTTAATGATAGAACCCCGTCACTTTAACAGACTGATGAAGCAGTAATGTTGCATATCCCAGGTCTGAAAAGGGCTTAAATGCAGTTAGTCTATTGACACTATTTGCTCATTGAATTCTGTTGTCTTTTTCTCTGTAAAGGGGAGAACCCAGATCTACTGGAGGCGAATCAGCTGATGTTTACGATGCCTGAGAATCTGGTGGAACCCAAGAATGGAGTGATAGCTTTAGAGGAGCAGTTACCAGGTCCTGTGTGCAGCGAGGCAGCTGGAGATGAAACCGTGACGGTAAAGCTGGAGCCAAACAGGGACGATCTCCAGATTCTGGGTCAGGTAGGGACTGAAAGTGGATCAGGAGCACCGGACCAGAGTCAGCTGTGGACGTCTGGGATCGAAAAGAGGAGCGATTCCCCCGAAGAAACTGTCTGTGTACTTTTACAAGATGTCAAGTATCACCTCAGTCCTGCTGCTGGAGCCAGTGATCAACAAGGACACACATCACCGGTCAAAGACGCACCATTTCAAGACAACAAAGAAAAGGAAAACATCATGCACAATGATCAGTATTCAGTCATGGAAATGCAGCCAGGAAGCTCTGATTTAATATTAGCAGCTGATCAGCACACTACACATGAGGTGTCTGTGAATGATTACAGCACGATGAACGACGGGACTCAAGAGGGAGGCTTCTTTGAATTTACAATGACCGCCTCGGGCGATCATGAGGACGGCTGTGTCGGGGACGCCGCCAGACAAAATAGCTTTATATGCGCGAGTTGTGGGCAAAGCTTTGATAGTTTCAATATGTTTCAGAGGCACCAGTGTGAGCAAATCACAGAGCAATCCTTCTGCTGCGAGATATGTGGTAAGACTTTCAATCAGATGACCATCCTGAAACTGCACCTTAAACTGCACGTGGAGAAAAATCATTTGTAATGTCCGCAACAGGGAAAACACACAATTATCAGTCAAACTGCAAGATGCACAAGATTATTTTCTCTTAACATCCTCAGAAGTTCTCGACATTCGCCAAAACTTTCAATGGCTAAAGCTGAGGAGCTAAATGTTTTGTTTTCCATTTCTAATAATGACTAATTGTGTTGTTGTTGTTTTTTGCTGAGACAAAACGACTGACCTGTCTGACTTGTGCCACAGTTCTAAGCTCTTGGCGTAGATGTTCTCCTGCCACTTTAGCCTCCTCCATCTGTCACTTACCAGAGAAGCAAAGCTATGACACGACTGAGCTTTGTTGGCAGAGACAGCGAACACAATTGCCGCTGCTGGCTCGGCTTTTGAGTGACTTCGACAATAATTTAATTACTATATTGAGAAACCAAAAACGGTCGAGTGTTTTATATTCAGAGTGGTCACTCACACTGGTCACTAGTTTCACATTATTTAAGTTATTTTAATGATTGTCAAGCGAATGTTGTCGGACATATGACGTGTCGCACACAACTCCTATTTGCACGCTATTTTTTGAAATCATAGGTTTATTTTGTGCGAATTCACAGTACGAGTTAATTTAAATGTACCCCAGTCCAACACGTCCTGTGAGTCATGTGATTTAGTCATGTGACATTGTAGATATTGTACGATTTATAGTTCCCGTCTGCTCTGTGTGAACACGTGTACACCGCGTGCAGTTCAGCCGAAAAGTCCCTACGTTTCCTGTTTCATGACTGTTGGTTTTGAGTCCCTAATGGCTTCTCGGGAGCTCAACATTTTAGTTTTTGCGTTATCTGGTTAGAGCAAAAAGTTTATTTTTGGCAAATGTTAAATGAGATGTGTAGAATGTAGTGATTTTGTTAAAGAAAGTCATAGTTTAAATTTTAGATGGTTAAGCTTCCCAATGAAAAAGCAGATCAGACATGATTAGTTCAAGGACTGTCGTACAGCTGGCTTTGTTTTCGCAATTTCTAGCTCTGATGAATTATCATTTTTGCGGATTTGTTTTCTTCCCTTTTTGTTTTAAAGACAACACTCCCTTTAAACAGCAGATTTTGGGGTTTAGAGGGTTAAAAATTGTCCTTTACATTCCATGTAATGCGCTCTAACCGACTCTCCTGATTGGAAATAGATCAACATACTCATTATCATTACATTTACACAGTTTATTTTAAATAACAGGCTGATCAATGAAATAATCAGCTCATGACCAATGATGCTTATTTTTGCTGAATTCATACAAACACATGCAAAATGCATGGATGCAGCATATTGAGTAGAGATTTGAAGTCAAACTGATTTAACCTTATCCTCATTTACTGTGCCTCAAGTTACCATTGCCTTCAAAGCTGCATGTGAACTTGTCTTGATGATGTTCGTACAATATTCTGTCAGTTTGATCTTCAAGAGTGAGACGTAAAGCACATGCTGTGATGTTTGGGTCGAGCCAAGGTTTGAAATAAATCTGACTTTTCACAAATCAAACACAGCGAATGAAGAATATGTGAGAAACTTTACTGTAGAGTCATTAAATACCTCATTGATACCACACGGTTATCAAGAATTTGGGAAAGTCAAAGAATTTGGAGCTTCTCTGTGGTTCTGTTTTTAGTTTTTTGGATCTATTTTTTTATGAGTTGAGATCACACGGACGCAGTCAGAGGCAGCGTCGAGCATTTCAAACCGTAAAATGAAAAGAAACCATCTGGTTGGGTAAATCAAGTGTCCCGAATGAACAGTGCAGTTTTTCCGATGGCTGGACTTGAAGAAGGGTCCGTCAAAACAGCACCAGCTCAGAAGGAGCAGCGTATTACACATGAGGTGTCATGGGCAGGAATCATGACTCAGAACCCTTATTATTGTGTGAGTGCCTACATTTTTCACATGGGAACGAAATCCCTAAACCTGCCACTGTAGTCTTATTGCCTTTAAAAAGTTTCACAAGTCATAAATTCTTGCTTTTCTTAATTTATAGTGGATTCACTCACCTTTAATTCAGTGGCTTGTTACACAAGCTCACCGGTCAATAGCTGTCCGTCTGATACCCAACAGTTGTAGCATGATTCACGGTTATCACACGACCTTCACAATCATCTTTGTGCGGGAGGTTAAATGACGTTTGAAAAGATGAATATATATATATTGGGAGTAAAATCAGATTTTCTTCATTTTTGTATTTTCGACAAAAATAAAACCTAAGTTTATTGAATTATGGATGCTGGCCTTGTGGTTATTCCAGTATTACTGACTGTATGTAAATAACTATTGAAACTTTCCTGTACTGCTTCCTCCCCCCGTCCTCTCACTTTCCTTTTCTTCCAGGATTTCCACATTCATTGAAAAGCTGTAAAATATGATAACCTAAGAGGATCTAACATGGTTCATTGAGGAACTAGATTAAATATCTACAGTCATGTCATAGATGGGATCTCCAGGGTAAAGTAAAACAACAGTACTAGCTTTAGAGGTTATAACTGACTTTTTAAAATCACAACTGAACTGGATAGGTTACAAAAACACACCGTAGACTCATTTGGAAGTTATTTACTGAGAGAAGTAGAGCCATATTCTCATAGACTTCTACACATCTGAACTTCTTTTTCAACCAGAGGAGTCGCCCCCTGCTGGTCGTTTACAAGAATACAAGTTTAGGCTACTTTCTTGTTGACTTTGCTTTTCACACCCAAAGTCTACATCCGTCTTTCGTATCCAGTGTGTTTCTGTTTTAGATAGTTTGATTCACAGAGATGAGGTTTTATCAGTGACCACAGAGGAAACAGAATCGGTTTTGTCTACTGCAGAAGGGGTTAAATAGGCTAGTTGTACTAAGATTGCATTCTTGGCGTGGATGAATGCTGTGTAGGGTATTAAAAAAAACGAGTTTCTGTTTCTTATGACTTCATTAATTTATATGCACTATTGCATGTTATTAATTTGTTGACTGTCTTTTGTGCAGTTTGTTAGATAAATTTGTATTTTATGAAATATTGTGGGGTCTTAACAATATTTAATTGAATCGGGTAAATTTGAATGTTATATAATATTGTATGGTCTTAATATTGAATTTTGTAAGGTAAATTGGTATTTTATATAATGCTATGGGGTCTTGGCAATATTTATCTTTAGTCTGCTGCTTTATACAACACTGTAGGGTTTTAGCCGTAATACTTAACAATATATTTTGTGTAGCATAGTTGAGTCTGAACAATATTTAATTTAATCAGAAAAAAATGCATATAATATTGTAGGTTAACAATATTTAATTTAGTTAAGTAAATTTGTATTTTAATAACATTACAGGGTCTTAATATTTAATTTAGTCACGTAAATTTGTATTTTATATAATATTGTAGGGTCTTGACAGTCACATCTAATTTGCTCAAATTTGATTGTTATGCAATACTGAAGAGCTTCAGCTGTAATATTTGATTTACTCAAATTCTATATATTCTATTGTAGGGTTGTTACCGTAATATATAAATTAATCTGCCTTATTTACACAGTTATTAATATTGCATGGTCCTAACATTAATGTTTAAACATGTTAGTAACATTTTTGACAGCAGTGTGCTACATAAATAACTTAAAGTGACTAAACTAGTAATAAATAAATAAATAAATAACACACTAGGACTATCTTCTAAATTTGTATTTTGCAAGAAATTTGTGTTTTCAATCCTCCATTTATTTAGAGTATTTGTAGATTTTGGCCTCCAACACAACCACCTGATTTTAATTTGCACAAAATCTCAACTTATTTTGTGTGTTTATTTATTACTGTGCAGATTCCTGACAGAAGCAAAGGTAAGGCACTTGTAATAACAGTTGCCCATCGCGATGGGCAACTACAGAGTAATCGTGCCCATGTGCCCATGTGTTTTTTTGTGTTTGTTTTTTTCTGTTAACAGTCTAGCGCTTTAATTCAATTCAATTCAATTCAATTTTATTTGTATAGCGCATATTTACAACAAGTCATCTCATAGCGCTTCACAAAGGCAGAGACAGAAACACCCAACAATCCAAAACATCTGGATTCCCTTTAAGCTTCAGCAGTCCACAACAGTGGGAAGGAACCGAAAACCCCCACAGGGGAAAAAAAACCTCCGACAGAACCAGGCTCAGGGAGGGACGGCCATCTGCCTCCACCGGTTGGGTGGATGTAGAATGAATTATAAAATGTAGTTTACAGTTAAACAAGTTATTAGAAGTTATTGTCCTTTTGTAACAGGAGGCATCATGGTGGGGGCAGCAGGATACAGAAGGTGAGGCCAGCAGCTGTAGTTCAGGAGCTCCAGATCCAGAGACATCCACAGAGAGAGCAGGCGCAGGAGAACCTCGGGGGGAGTCACAGAGTTTTACAGGAGAGGAGTTTGAACCTGAAACTTCATCCATGACCTCGGTGTGGTCCCTTCTCGGAGTGACTACATTTTGGGGTCAATACATGCATTGGTGATGGCTACAGAGGTGAAAGGTTGCATTTCTCAAAAACACACAAAAAAATAAGTTTAGTTTACTAACTTAGGAAGACATTTGAGGCCTATAAACTGGTGATGTAGCATATGACCTTGAGACAAAGGTCATGCATACATTAGCCAACTATGTCCCTCTACTGAGGACTCTCTAGTTTTACTTTTTTGAATGATGTCAAAGGAACGCGGAGGCCATCGTGTCAGACTGTGGCTGCGCGTCTATCGGCGTGTTTACGGTAAAGCTCCTCCGCCACACGGAAGAAAGGTTGCAGCAGCAGCAGCAGCAGCAGCAGCTAGCTGCTAGAAACACACAGGGATGTGAACATTTCTACTGCGTCGCCTCTTTTCTCCTTTTTTTTTTTTAAAGACACGCACTGCGCGGAAGGAGCCTCTATTTACAATTTCCTCCCACAGCGACTTTGTGTGAGTGAACATGGCGACGTGCATCCCCTTCCAAACACAGCTATCCTCAATAATGGAGGTTCTGGTGAAGGCAGCAGTGGCAGAGATCTCCAAACTAGTCGATGACAAATGTGCGTTTCTGCATCTCGAAATCTCCCGAAAGCAAAGCGAGAACGAGATGCTGAAGAGGAAGCTGCTCGTGATGGAGAACAAGAACCAGCAGCTGCAGCGCGGATTCGGTGAGACGCTCGTTTGTGCGCAAAAACTGTCAAATTCATTCATGCATCTTAATGTGAAAGTAGCAAAAACAAGACGCCCAGCCGTTTTGTACAGCAGCAGGAGCGCAATCTAGGAATGTAGGGATTCTGCTCATTGCACACAAACCTCTATTTCTTATAATAACACCCAATTTCCCTTTTAAATTCAAATGTTCTGCCTCCAGAGAACTACATGGACCGAGGACCTGATGAAGGAAACAACTGTCCACATCCCACAGCGGCGGATATTAAGGTTTGTTTCATCTTTACCGTCTAGAAACTTTGATTTATGTATGTGTGATTTATTTTCGTAATGGTTTGTGCAATATCAGTGTCATGAGATTGTCATATTTACATTTTTTTAATGTGCACTATTTCAATTTGTGCTGGAAAATGATTAGAATTAGAGGCTTTTATCGCTCCATTGTACAGCAAGACAGCAAAACAACACAAACCTGAAGTACATCATGTGCAATATATGATTATCAAGGTAAAATTTCATAGATTTTAATTATCTGTAGTTTATTTAAAAAGAAAAAAAGCTTCAAAGCTGGTTGAGCAGAAGGCTTGTGAAGATGTGAGATAAAGTAGGAAAGAACATTTCCCAATATAAAGCACAAACAAGTCTTTATCTCTGTTTTTACTACTAGTACTACTTCAGAATCATTGCTGGTTCTACTTTTGTTTTGTAGCCTTAAGTCAGGTTAGCTTATTTAAATTTAGTTAGTTTTTTAATTACACAATGCATTTTTTTCTCCTGCATTTTATATTTTATATGTTTTTGCAATATCTGTGCACAAAAAAAATTAACAAAGTCCGGTGTTGTCTTAATATCTGAACACAAGACGAATAGTGAAGGTGGAGGAGTTGTGTACCAACAGAGGCTGTGGAAGAGAGTGAGCGCAAAACACAGTCGGAAGCGAAATGCGACAGAAAAATACCAGCAAGAGTAAAAAAAAAAAAAAATAAAAAAAAAAGGTGCAAGATGGTAGTGAGACCAGTTATGTTCCAGACAGGAGGAGGCAGAGCTGGAGGTGGACGAGTTAAAGATGCTGCGATTTGGAGTGTTGAAAGGACTGGTTCAGGTTGGATGTAAAGTAAGAGAGGCGAGTTTGGAGATGTGTTTGGTCTGGTGGGAAAAGATGAAGCTGTGTGGTAAGGACAAAAGATGGAGGCCAAAGAGGAGGTTTGTGGATGGGGTAAGAGAAGACATGCAGGTGGAGAAGGTGGAAACAGAGAAGCTGAAAAAGGAACACGAAGCACAGAAAAATGGAATAATACTGACCTGGGAACAAAATTTCACCCCAAACAGTGAACCCAAAAAGTAAACTGACGAGTGTGGAACATGGCTGAACTTTAATCTTAAAACGGATGGAAAATTCAATTAATAAATCGAAAAGGCACCAACTTAGGACATACGTTATGATGCGTGTCTGACCGTGTCTGATCTGTCGTTTTGGAAATTCACGCCGTCTTCCTCAAGATTTGTTCTTCCAGCAACAAACACACAACTCGCACAAAACATTACATTTGTGATGCAGAAAAATGGCGTCTGCTTAGCCAGAAACAACGTCGGGCATTTTAGTCCCAAGAAAAAGTGTTATTATTTAAATAATTAAACACAGTCACAACCGGAGTGATCATTTTTTTTAAATGCTGATTTGTTCTGTGCTAATTAAAAAAATACATTTTGAGAGCAGTTCATATCTTTAAGTGTCTGCGTTCGACTATAGAGCAGTTCATGTTTTGATTTTGTCACGTAGTAATGCTCTGAAAAATGATTACACAGTTATTGTTGAGCTGAAGCTTTTGAAAAATCTTATTGCGATTAATCAAATTTTAATCACAAAATCTGTCTGAAAATTGTAATATTTTCCTCAAATTGTTGAGCTGTAACGTGGAACTTGCTTTGGATAAATTCTGCTTCATTGAGTCGTGTTTTTATACAATAACATTTGATAAAAAAGTAATGTGTCAAGCTTATGTGTGACAAATCTACTGAGAAATATCACCTTAACTCTATGAATCGTGTTGGTACCTTCCAGCTAACTGTTTAGGCTACATTTGTGGTTGAAGTTTTACTAATTAGTGGCACCACTTTGGTCGACGTTACTTCTGAAAACTCGACGACTTGGCCAGAACCACACAGCTGACGGATACAATGAGTGACTAGCAGTTTGACCTGATATATCCCTCAGGAGTTGTTGGAGAGCAAACAGAGCTAAAAGGAGGGTCAATATTGGACTTATTTCTCCAGGTAGCGTTGTTGCTGTGTGTCGGCTTAATGCACAGATAAGAAACTGTTTGCCAACGCCGTCTCTGAATCTGAATTATATGGCAATGTGTCAGAGTTGTTCAGAGCTGCTTGTGCTGCCCCCCCAAGTGATGAAAATAAATCCTGTTAATGCTGCTTCTCTTTGTCTAGTTTCCTGAGATTGAAGATAGCACAGTTTCCTTCACAATTAAAGAAGAGAGTCCAGATGAGGCGCTTTGGATCAGTGATTCTGCCGGAGCGATCGGTGAGTTAAAGAACAGGATTTTGTGCAAGGAATGATCTAAATCCAGTTGTTGCTTGTGCAAAAATTAAATCCCCCAAGTTGTTGCTTCCTAATTATCTAGATATAAATGATCTAATTTTGTGCATAACATTTTGACATTATTGCACAAAATTTTAAGAAATTCGTGCCCTCATTTTCTTGCACAAAAGCGTTCTTGATTGAAATTGACTTCACATCCCCCCCGAAGTCTCCTAACACCTGTCACTTGCAGGTTCTGCTGTACAATACCCAAATGCTGCAAACGCTCCAGAGAACCAGAGGTTTCAAGACAACCACCGGTTAACCCATTCAGACGTCGCCAGACAGAAGCCTTCAGAATTCAGCGACTCGTACAACTCTGGTCCGCATGCTGTAGACATCAGTGGCCTTCAGTTCACCGTCAAGACCGAGAAGGAGGAGGACCGATTGGCCTTCAGGCAAGACGGGTGCCAGCACAATGTGGGAAAGCAGACTCAGCTCGCTGCTGACTTTTCCATGGATGAAAGGGAGAATCAGCTCTGGTCATCCATAATTGAAGGTAATGACATTGAGGCTGGTTTTCCAGACTTCTCGAGTGTAGTGGAGGAGTATTCCAACACATTCCCAGACCATTCAGATGCAGACGTGGTTTCTAACAAGCCGACTAGTGTCCAGCAGTCGTCCTCTCAGAGGCTGTGCAATGGGATCTACAGCAGTGATGCTCCGCAGTCGTCCGGTTTCCAGCCCAGACCTCAGGCTGCACTGTCGCAGCAAGACAAGCAGAAGGAACAGATTTACCCGCAGAGAAACGCCTCGCACGCCGCCCATCTGAGGCAGCCAGACGAAGACCCCGAGAGGGAGGCTGCCACCGGAGATAGAGCAGCTGTAACTCACTCGCACAACGCTTTCACACCGAGCAGCTTCCACCCCCACAAGCCTCTCTCCGGTGTGGCCCGGGGCTACGCTTGCTCGCAGTGCGGAAAGACCTTCAACCGCCTGCACCAGTTCAAGCTGCACCAGCAGAGCCACAAGAGAAAGCGAGCGTTCTGGTGCACAGTGTGCGGGAAGAGCTTCCAGTGCTCGTCCCACCTGAGCATCCACCACCGGACGCACACGGGGGAGAAGCCCTATGGTTGCGGACAGTGCGGGAAGAGGTTCACGCAGCAGAGCAGCCTGAGGGTCCACCAGCGCACGCACAGCGGGGAGAGACCCTACAGCTGCTCACAGTGCGGGAAAACCTTCATCCTGATGCACCATTTGAAACGTCACAGAATCATCCACACGTACAGCTGGGGGGGAGATGTGTGAGGCTCAGGAGAAAGAAAGGACACAAATGACAGTTTGAAACCAAATCAGAAAGCCACTGAACGGCAGCTTTTTGTTTGTTTTTTGGGTTGTGATTTTTAACTTTGCGGCATTGCTGACAGACTTTGTATATTAATGCATATTTTACTATGCAAAGTCCATCTGGATGGATTTTAAGATGTTTGCTTCTTTTTTTTAAAAAAAAATTCTTGTCTTAAAAATGATCAAAATGTGAAACCGAATTGCACCCTCATTCACACAAGTCAGTATTTGTGAGATACTTCCGAAGCTAGAAATCCAAAAAAACAAGGTCTACAATGTGGAGTCATCAAACAAAAACCTTATGGCTTTCCGCTTACACATACCTACGAACATACAGATCCTCACACAAACTGTTTGTTGTTTTTCGCTTGTCATGTAGAAATGAGCCTTACTTCATCTCCGTACTGAAACTTTCGAAGCACAAGATGCTCATTGCCCCATCCACTCTTCCCCTAAAGTTAGAGTCTGTGATTCTGGAGAAAGATTGCAGATATTTAGCTCGTTAGCATATTTGGACAGTCAGGGCTGTGTATGAACACAAGATTTTGTTTCAGCACAAACAAAACCGACAGCCGGTGGACCATGAGGGTATCGGATTCGAATCGCATACAGAATTGACAAGTGGGTTTTCCACACAAATCCGTTGAAGCACCTCTCAGGTTCATGTTTTAATCTCAACATTGGTGAAAAGAAAAACCTGCCTGATGTTTGCTCTGTGTTCCATTTTCCATGAAAATTCACCCCAAAATACTCTCCTCTTTGTTATGCTTTATATTAAAAAGGATTGTCAAAACCAGCAGCTGAAATTTTCACTGTTGATTCTCACATGAAAGACATCGACTCCTTTATATTTACCTTAATCCTACAAAACAGAGCTTTTGTGTCTTTTAACGACTTGTTGGGGTGATGACTTCGCTGTATTCACTTCTATTAATGTCCTCAGATTTTGTGCTTAGACATCAGAACATCCAGGAGCTTCTGGTTGTTCCACACTGGTGCTCTAGCTTGGATATTAGAATGTGAGCTAAAGAGGGTAGCGCCAATCAATTTTTAGACCTTCAAAACAATAAAAATCTTCATATCAATTGTGAAACAAGCAGCAAGCCAGTGGAGGGAGGCTACAACGGGAGTTATGTGATCACAATTACTTTTTCCTGTAAAAAGATGAGCAGCTGCTTGTTGAATCAGCTCCAAACAGATCTCGTGAATACGAGGCGTTTTCTTTGAGAAAATGACTGTTAATCAATCAGCAAAACTAATTTACCATAAATCTACTGTCTCACTGCCACTCAATTTACAGCAACATTCAGGCCTGAAGGTGAAATGTCAGCAGAGGGCAGTGTAACTCATCATTTAAACCTTAATCAAGCAGACGGGGACGTGTGACTCTGCACTGCTGCTGCCTGTACGGGAACAAAGGCTTCACACTTTTAAGTTCCTGTTTATCAAAAGAAGTCATAGTAACCACCTGACTGACTGTTAGTGCTTTGACAGCCTTTCCCATAAGCACAGCTCTCAGCAGAGCGCTTCTGATACGACTTTACACATCATTCCTGTCTTATTTCGTTATTCTACTGGTTGCTTTCTCACCTTTTAATCTTGTACTAATCTGACTCAGCGGATGTCGACCGCAGGAACAAGCCTGACATTGGTCACGTATTTCATGCTCCCTTTCTGCCATCCACGTGTCACTGCTTCAAAATCCCCTTCACGTTGAGAAACAACACCACTAATGTCCAGTAAACGCTGAAAATTTTAAGTTTTGGAGAAGGTTCGGACTGATTACGATCCTGCTGTGTTTTAATGGCAAATTAGCCATTTAAAAAAAAAAAGCTCTCACTCACCAGATGTCGGATGCAGGCCACTGATGTCCACAGACTTTACCCTCTTCTTCCACTTTATGTAAGTTATCATTTTCAACATTCCTTTTACTGTGGGAAGTGACACAAACAACAACCGACCGCACTGGAAAGTGTTTTTGAAGTTTTCCTGATGATTTGAATTGATTGCAACCCTGCTAGTTTAGTTTGATTTTTTTTTTTTACTGCGAATTAGCCATTTTAATAACACTGCTGCCCTCCATGAGAGCAAACAATCCACTGAATTCATTCTCCAATTGCTATTTTGAGGGGACACTGTTGCTGCATCCTGGGCTTAGCTCTGCCCAATACAACAGTATAACGAAAAATCAACAAGCTCGGGCATTTTCCCCTGTAGCAGAATGATAATGAGGTGCAGTCAGATCAGTCTGTGTGCCAGAATAGTCTGGCTATGTAAGAATAATCTTTCACTGTTAAAAAGTCAGTATTTAAATGTGCACCAACTTTGTTTTACGTCCAAATAGCTGCAAATTAATGACACTCCATCAGCGTCAGCTAGACGTACTTTGGGTTTTGTGCTAATTAGCAAATGTTAGCTCGCTAACATGCACAACTACGATGATTGACAGAGTAAAGCTTCTAACTGCTAGAGATCCTCCTTCCATCAGTCACGTATTTCATGCAGCCATTTCATGATGACATAAGAATTTAGGCCAAAGCGTTGCTGTGCCTGAACGCATCCTCACTGAGCTGCTGGAATGGCTTGTTAGCACGGCCACTCGTGCTTTTGTCAAGGTTTCCAGAATATAGGGATAAATGCATTTCTGTTTTTGTGGTTCTGGACTACACTCAAAGTACATTTTCCCCTTGTGCATATGGCTAAATAGTGCAACTCTGGGGCAGCAGGGTTGTGCAGGTTGTGAAGTGCAGTATAGACACTGCTCTGAAACAGTATGTCCTGGCAGCCAGGACTTCTTCAACGACAGTATCTTTCCAGATTGTAAATTTTATTGAAGCAGTAACCATCAGAATGGAAAGCACTGGGAAGTAGCTTTTATGTTTGCATAGCTTTGTTGCACTCACAGGTGGTTGAAGAAGACGACAAGCTTTGGAAGTTGGGGATTTTTTCCTGAACAAAAATGGAATAAATGTTGCTGTTTCTTTGTTTGAATAGCATTTTTTATTTTTATTTTTTTGCAAGTTTTACATGAACTAAATGCAACTCAGTAGGCAGTGATCATTGTTGCAGATAAATCCTGTGAATGTGCAGCATCAGGTAAACAGTGCAGCCATCAAATGGAAGTGTTCCCTGTGATCTTCAGTTTCAGCCACAGTCGGTCAGTTTGCTGTTTTTGATTTCGCCACAATTTTTAAATGCAGATCATACTGTACATTTGAGATTTGCAAAAAAATATATGTGTGTGTTCGGTCACAAATCCGACTTGCAGAAGCATTGGATGAACCTACTGATATTATGTCAGTGTGTCCCTGCAGTGAGTACAGCTATAGCCTCGCTTCGTGTTCATGCGCTGCAGTATATCAGCAAATTTTGTACAGACACCTGGACCTCCTCCTCCTGCCGCAGGCAAACAGACAGCTCATAAAATTCACATGACCTTGTATGGCCATAAACAGTGGTGCCTGAGCGTCATGGAAAATGTTTTTTTTTCTCTTTTTTTTTCCTGCAGTAGGAGGAGGAAGAGGACAAATGGCAGTGGGTATATTTTGGGTAAGAAAGTGGGAAAAGTGAGAGTGGAGACTGGAGCATCCATGGGAGAGTACATGGTAACGAGAAAGGAGGATAAACAAGGCTGATAAGGTGAAAGACAGACTGGCTATCCTGGTGATGTTGTGTTTTTTGTTGGCATTTTTACTCTGGGAAGCTCAGCAGCATTATTGTGCTGTAACATCCAGCTTAACACTTTAGGGAGGATAGATAATGATAATACAATTTGCGTTTTTTGCTCTCGCCTTGGCAGAGATGCTGTGTGTTTTCAGTGCTGTTTGTGTGTCTTTCAGCAGGATTATGCCAAAACTACCCGGCTGAATTTCATGAAACGTGGTGAAGAAGTGGAGCATGGCCAGAGAGAGAACCCATTTCATTTTGGTGAAATTCGCCAACGCTTTTCAAATAGGGCAGAGATAGGGCATTGGTTTTGGTGGAGAGTCGACTCTCTGAATGCCTTTCTAGATGTATTGTGTGTTCTTATTCTTGTAGATTAATGGTCAAACATTAAACAAACACAACTTTAGTAAGCCAGGGCCTCAAATGATTAGGTATGTAATGAAAATGTCACTTTAAAGTTCCCCTCTGGTCACTGATTTAACCCCTAAAAACTCTAAAAACTCTCCTCTGTGCATCAGAGTTAGACATTTAAAAGTTTCTTTTCATAACAAACAAAACGATTCCTGTCCTAAAAGGACTTAGATGTAACTCTGCACCATTTCCTCCAGAATGAAAGAGATCTGATGAAGCCCCCACCTCTCTCCACTCACCCGTCCCAGCTGAGGGCAGCTTGAACACACCAGCTCACGCCAAACTGTAATTCTGGAGTATTTTAGCCAGACATGTTGGAACCAGGAACTAAGTCCTAAGAATAATAATGATACAGAAAGTTTCACCGTGCACGATGACAGGATTGGCTCTGTGGGTTTGTTCCATATGAAACGTTGTTGGTCTGAATCTGTGACT